GAATGCCCTATTCTTCATTACTGGCTGGCTTTTGGTCGATGATTGGCAGTCGTATTCAAAATTTTTCTCGGTGTTCGGTGTGTGCAGAATGCAACGGCTTTTACGGTTCCTTTTCATCCGACGAAATACAGAAGAAACTATTCCTCCTCGTTACTTTCTTAATGATCATCTTCGTTGTTCTTTGTTCCTTATGATCTTCTGTTGCTTCGATATCGCATGACTCCACGGTAAGTAGCGGTCGCAGCGCCGATCAAAGACACGTTACTCGATCGTTTCGGACCGGAACGTTCCGTTGATTCCGCGGTACAGTAGAACCTCAATTATTCCTGACTGTTAGATGCGGATACGCGATTAATCGCATCACTTTATAGTAATTATACTTACATCGATATTTTCCTAGTGGTTATTCGTCAGGATTTAGCTGTTTGCTTTGCTCGTTCTTCATTTATCGTTTTCTCGCCCCTTCGATTTAAGTGACATCTGCCTGTTTATTTTTGACGTTCACCGAATGCTTCGTAATGCTTAACGTTTATTTTCTTTTATAAAAAGTAGCTCACCATGTATGGAAGATACTTACCTGTCGGGTTAGACTTTATGCTGAGTGTATTAGTCGGTACATTTAGTTAAACTGCTTACATTCTATCAGAATACATATTGGAATTTTCTTTTATACGAAATGGAACAATTCGCTAAACGACTGTCTTCAGTTTCTGTTTAAATAAACAATGTATTGGAGTTTCTTTTAGAACTGAGCGTAACACTTAATTTCATCTTGATGATACAAGCTCGATCTGGTAAAAATGACGTATCGAACTTCCGATTATTCGAATCATTCGCTTGAACAAAATTCACCAGTTCAATACACAGTTCGTTGAATCGGCCCACTAGATTACAGAAGATTAATAAAAAGAGTCGAGTGATATTGCCATTGTATGCGGACGTAGGATGCTTAGCAACGACATTATCGACAGCGATAAAACAAAAATTTATACTCTTAGGGAACGATTACCGAACAATGAAGAGAAATGTGCGCGAGAACGGTCGTTGACTAAATTCTTCGGATAATCGAGGTTCCACTGTATGAGTTGTATCCTCTCGATCGCAACAACATTGAAGCACTACGGGCGGATTAAAGCCAGGTTATCCGTAGATATTCATCCCGTTGAAGAATGAGAGACTGCTCGTTCCATAATTAATCGTTCGCCTGTTCATCTTACAATAGCCGTGGAAAACAAATGTCGCGCGACGTTCGTCTGTATCGCCGTTAAGAGCCGTTGATAAAATGCACTTTGTTGTATCAATCGATCTACGCCCCTCGCGCGGCTACACCGCGTAAATATCCGGATCCCCATTCATGCGCCGTGATTCACATAAAATCAATAAATCATTCAGTCCGAGTGTTCCGCAAATAAAACAATTTCGACGCAGCTGGTATTCCTCCGGGTTAGAACCGATGGAAAACACGGACGCAGATGTAACGATACATCCTTCCTGCAAGATGCACAGTATTGATCCAGTTGTTTGTGAAAGAGTGTTACACAGAATCTAAACGAGTGCTCGGTATCTCGTCACAATCCAGCGTTGGCCGCGACCTCGTCCAAGGAACGCGCAAGAAATACCATTTGTAATTGAACGAGATTTTTTTCTCGGCAAGGAACTGTAATCGTGAAACGATGAAACGTTTATTTATCGTTTTATTTCCTCGGATTTCTGGGAAGCTTTAATTAACGGGAACGACATTTAATTTTACGTTTTT